TTGCACGCACATAGGTCTGGTCCTTAGTGTACACGCGCCCTCGCACCTCCGTTCAACGGGGCCACAGGGGACACTCCTCGGGTACACCCTGGGCTGGCATGAAGCCAGACACACTCGAGATATTGCGCACTGGACTGATCGCCCCAAACTCCTGAAGAAGCCTAAGTGAAAAAATGGCCTGGGTAAAACAGGAAGTATATAGTGCAGTCGAATCCTCAATGTTCCAAAGTTCCAAAGGCCCAAGTCTCAAAGAAGACACAACAACCACGACGAAGGCGACGAAAAGACGAACGCACATCTGCCGATGAAGAACTGCTGCAAACAAAGGCTGGGCACATTGTTCTAGTTGGGAGCGGGACCAAGTAGGAATTTCTCAGGTAAAACTGCAGGTACACCCGGGCGACCAATCCGTGCTTCCCACTCCATGGCATAGCTTCGTTGCACCGAGTTTGCCAACGAGTGCTCAGTGCCCCTGTTGTCAAAAAGTAACAAACCACACAAACAAATCAACGGACTGCCTGTGACTCCAAGGGCTTCACACACACACAAACACTCACAAAGGGGAGGCCAATGATCAAATAGGGTTCCGACTTACGCGCACGCGCGCACGCAAAAAGGGACAAAAGAGAATACGTGACAAGAGGACGAAGGAAGACAAAGGTTTGTGATGCGGACGGAAGGGAAACCAAAAGCACAGGGACAACCGATGAGCCAAACCTCCTCCTTATCAAAACCTGGGCCGCCTGCACCCTAGTTTGCATGTAGAAGTGCACGTAGCACTAAGGGCGGGACCGTTGTGTGTACAAGAGTAAGAAACGAGTGAAATGACCAGACATGAAGGTTGAAAAGAAACGAAACAAAAGAGGAACAGAAAGGTGTGTAAAGGGAGGAAAAATCAAACGGAAACAGATGATAGGCCGAAAACAATTGAGGCAGACCTCCTCAAAGCGAACCTAGGTGGTGGACCTCGCCTCGTTTGAGAAGGTAAGTGCCGTGTGTGTGCAAATGAGGTAGCCTTGTCAAAAGGACTGGCTGCTCCGCCTGCTTCAGGCACGTTCTGGCACTCAGCCTGCTCAAGCTCTATCCATGTCGTCAGGTCTTAACTAACCTCTGCCTTAAGGCTCCTACATCCGCTGCGGATTACTCTGCTCTCCAGCCGGGATGAAGCCAGACACACTCGGGATACTGCTACCGGAACTGGTTGCAGTTTGCCACCCGCCAGCCTGAGTACAAAACCAAAGGAACCAGGGTGGGTATTTATGTAAAGCGGTCTGAGCATAAAAGCCTCCAAACCCTTGAACTTATGAATCTCAAAGGCTTCAGTCTTGAAGTTGCAAAGCTTCAGAAAGAAAAACGACGAGATTGACGACGAAAACTCACATCTGCCGACCTGAATCATCCCGCAAAAGAGTGAGAACCTCTACAAGTGGGAGGTGGTTACAACACTCACAAAAAGGCAGGTACAGGAAGGTGATCAGCCTTCCCTTCGCATCCACGACCGTAGCTTCGTTGCACGGTAGGTCATGGATGCCGTGTGCCCCTGTAAGAAACATCCAGATGTGACCTATGATTCGAAGGTGTACACACACACCTCCATCTTGGCGTTATAAATTTGGACCCTTTATTGTCATGTCCATTTGGGCCAAAAGAACTCTTGCCACCCAAGCTGCTTGGGGTGTTGCTCCAACTTTTCCGCAATTTGCTGACGAAGGTCGCTGACGCTGGCGCCAGGCACCACCGTTGTCTCCACCTCTTTGCCCGAGGCCAGGGTTACCTGGCACCAAGACTCGATTTAAAATTCCGAGAGTGGAATGGCAAAAGTAAAGCAAAAGTAGGCAAGAGTAAATTCCTCCCACGAGCAAAGTGGCATTGGTCTTTTACAGTGAGTCACAGGCCTGAAATGTCATGCTCTCACGTGACAAGCGGGGAGGTCAAAGCTTTCGACCCAAAACAGCGGGCATCGCAGCTGAATCAAACCAAAGATGATGAAATCGGCCAGAGTAAGATTTGCAAATCATTGAACAGACAACAGGCGCTTTTGGGCCCACGCCCACTAGAAAGAAACTGAGCAGCTCCGCTATCCAGGGCCCCAGCCAACATCATGGGTATTGTCTGACATGCGGATCATCGCCTCCCTCTGGCGACGAAGGTCCTGAAGTTCATTGTGACGAAGAACCGCCTTCTGACAAGAGGAACGAGAGGACGAAGTCCTTTGAAGAACAACGTGGGCTTGTTAAGACCGTTATAGCCCCAAACTATTTGGACTGTTCGTGTGTCTCCTTAGTGTAAACATGGCTATCCACATCAAATAGTCACAATGCATCCGAAATCACCCTGAAAACTAAAGCCACTCTATTGAAGCTACAAGACATCCAACATAGTAGTGGTGCGTATATGTGTGTGTGTGTGTGTCGTCAAGAGAGACGATAGCAAGTCTCTGGCATGGGTTGTCCTTAGCACAATAAGCAAGCAACCAATATCAAAAGAGAGAAGGCACTTCCCGAAAGATCCTGGAGGGCCTGGACGCCAATCTCCTGCATCTCGCGAACAGAACAGGCTGGAAATTGATCGTCGCAAACAGTCGTTTCGTCTCGCATTGGGGTGAAAGCCCCCAACAGGTTTAACCACACAGTGAGGTGACGCCTCGGTCTCTGCAGAAATCTTGTTTGCCTCTTTCAGGCGATCTGTACCTGGGGAGTGTATATAACCGCTGCATCCACAGGAGACACAGAGAACTCCTACCCGGGCAGCCACAGTAGTGACCACTCCACGTGAGACCCTGAGTCTCCCTCCTAGTGCAACCTCACGGATTACCAGTGGAGTGGCTGAGTAGACCGATCGACTCACCAAGGTGGGCTGTGGTTGGGGAGTCACGATAGAAATCCTTTGAGTTCGATCCAACTGATTTCCTTCCGAAAAGTTTGGAAAGACAAGAACTCATCAACTGCCATGGCAAAAGTTGCCCTTTCTGGCTAGAATGCACCTGGATGATGCATTCAAACTGATGTCTCATTCGGCAGTCAATTGTCAGAAGGGTCGTGGTAGCTGGTGCTGCATATCGACACAAAGTGCATTAACAAATAGAAAATGTTCCCACAAAAAGCTTGACGCGTTTGCATCATGCCAAGAGGTCTTCAAAGAAGCTTCTCATGCCCTTCCTTTAAGTCCTTTAAGACTAGCTGTCAATTTGCTTTTGCTTTACTGATCCACTAGGCTTACTATTCACCCACTTGGTGGCCTACCCTGCCCTCTGAAAAAAAGAACAACAATATGTTGTGATTTGTTACTAGTAGCTTCTTGCTCCTAGTAGTAGGGCCAGGAGCTCCTAGTAGCGTCCTTGTTCCTAGTAGCAATGCCAGGAGCTACTAGTAGCGATGCCCTTTGTTTCTAGTAGCGTCCTTGTTACTATGCCCAACGGCTCGGCCCCTTGCCTTTCTGCAAGGAGCTAGTCACTGCAGCTGCCTTGCGCCGCTCTTCACGTGCAAGGAAAAGCCTCAGGACCACTTGAGAAGAGGGATACACGAAAGGTAGGACAGCGGGATGAAAATAATCATGTAAAATATGCAGTGTGTTGTTGGTGGAGTCGAATCAAACGTCAAGTGTCAACTTGAGAATGGAGGAAAA